AATGATGTATAAATGCGCTTTACACAATTGATGTGTGTATGGATTGGGATAACAGTTGTATGAGCCCCTAATAAAATGTAAAAAAAAAAAGAAAGAAATTATTAAATAAAAAATTAAAAAAAAAGAAAGAAAGAAAGAAAAATGGGCCACTTTATTATTGGGAAAGTGGCTGAAAATCTGGTGCAAAGCTTCTCTGGGAAGCACAGGTTGGTCCAGGTTGGCTGAAAAGTGGAGCACCGTGAAGGTAGTTGGTCAATGATTTGATGGAAAAACCACGATTATTAGTCTTAAGAAATCTAATTTTACTTGATTCCTTTGATAGTAGCTTTTTTATTTTTACTAGTATCAGAAAAAATCGTAAATATATTTTTAAATGATTTTAAACACTCTTTTTGGTGTTAGCCAAAAAAATGTTTATGAGAATTTATATATACATCATATCATCCATTCTCATTCCAAAAACTGAACCAGTAATTCTGCAGTTATGAGGATGCTGGTGCTCACCCAGTCTTCTAAGGACCCCTGTGCCCAATGGTCTGTGCCACTCTGGCAGACTTCCTCGTGTTGGTGGGAGGTGGAGGGACGACAGGTCAGGTAGAACTGGGAGTGTGTTTGCTCCCATACTTGTATGTTTGGTACCTAAACCAGGTTTCTCACTACCTTTGAATCACTATTCTTAGTCACTAATTCTAGCTAAAAAATGAAAACCCCTTTTTTCTTTCAGTTAAGAAAAAGAAGCCAAAACTCTTAAATAATTTTGATAAGACTATTAAAGCTGAGCTTGATGCTGCAGAAAAACTCCGTAAAAGGGTAGGTTGATGTTTTTTCTTTTTGCACAGCAAGCATGTAATTGTTTAGTTATTCAGCAAATTCCAGCATTCCTCTTAGTTTATTTTTAAAAATCAAAAGAAATGATGTTTGACAAGACTGAAACAGAATTCTATGTGAAACTAATCAAAAAAAATTTTTAGTTGCAGCTGCATCTCAAAAACAAATAGAACTCACCTGCGACCTAGATGACTGGTTCTAGACCACCTTTCAAGTTCTAGTTGTATGACTTTGGGAAAAATCGCTTAGTCTTGTTGACCTTTCTTTCCTTATTTAAGAATTGAGAAAAATTTGTCATGTAATTTCCTTTGAGGTTTAGTAAAAATGAGCTTAACCTACATAAATATAATTAACTAATCTTTGTCAAGAGAACAAGGGGCATTCAATGGCAA